TACCCTGAGCATTGTAGGATGTTTAGCAGTATCCCAGGCCTCTACATGCCAGTAGCACCATCCCTCTTCTGACTTGTGACAACCCAGAAAGTCTCGAGACATTGCCAAATGTCTTGGATCAGGGGTACAAAATCACCCCTGGTTGAGAACTACAGTCCTTGATCAGTTCTTTCTAAAAGTGTTCACAGACTGCTAGCCCTGGGAGAGTCTTCCCCAAAGATTCCAGGGTCAAATACTTCAGGAAATAGTAAATAATAATAGTAGGAGGAGGAGGAGGTAATTTTTATACACTTAGTACATGCTACAAACTGTTCTTAATCTCAGTGAATCTTCATAAAAGACCTAGAAGTGAAATACTGCTTTAATCACATTTTTCAAATGTGAAGATTGGGCTCAAGAGAAATGAAGTAACTAACCAAGATCATACAATTAATAAGTCACCTAGGGTGTCTTTCCAAGTCATCTCCAGAGCCTGTGTAATTGTGTATATACAGTAATACTTCTTGCATAGCCCATTTTTAAAATTTACAATTCAAATTGTGATATTAAGGATAATTATTCTTAATTTGTATTTACTTTATCTCATGCACTTGCAGAATTAGGTTTTGTTTTTGTGCTTCAGTTTTCCTCTTTATATTTACTTTTTATTGAAGTATAATTGACATGTTAGTTTCAAATGTACAACATAATGATTCAATATTTGTATACATTGTGAAATAATCACCACAGTAAGTCCAGTTAACATCCATCACCATGAACAGTTACAATTTTTTTTTTCTTTATGATGAGGACTTTTGTAATCTACTTTCTTAGCAACTTTCAAATATACAATATAGTATTATTCACTACCATCACCATGCCATCCATTATATCATATGACTTATTTTATAACTGAAGTTTGTACCTTTTTGCTCACCCCCAGCTCCCCTCTCTGGCAGCCATAATCTGTGTTACGTATCTATGAACTTGATTTTGTTTGTTTTGTTTTGTTTTGTTTTTCAAATTTCACATAAAAATGAGATCATGTGATATTTATCTTTCTGTCTGACTTATGTTACTGAGCATAATGCCTTCAAGATCCATCTGTGTTGTTGCACATGGCAAGATTTTAGTCTTTTTTGGCTGACTAGTATTCCGTTATATGTATATATACCACAGCTTTATCTATTCATTCACTGATGTCCACTTAAGTTGTTTCCATATCTTGACTATTGTATATAATGCTGCAGTGAACATGGGCATGAGTGTATCTTTTGAATTAGTGTTTTCATTTCCTTTGGATAAATACCCAGAAATGGAATTACTGCATCATATGGTAATTCTATTTTTAATTATTTGAGGAAACTTCGTGTTGTTTTCCATAGTGACTGCACTAATTTACAGTCCCACCAGCAGTGCATGAGGGTTCCCTTTTTTCCACATCCTCTCTAACACTTGTTAGTGTCTTTTTGGTAATAGCCACCCTAACAGGTGTGAGGTGATATGTCATTGTAATTGTGATTTGCATTTCCCTGATGATTAGTGATGTTGATCATCTTTCCATGTGCCTTTTGGCCATCTATATGTTTTCTTTGGAAAAATGTCTATTCAGATCCTCTGCCAATTTTTTAATTGGATTGTTTTGTTTTTAGTTTTGCTGTTGAGTTGTATGAGTTCTTCATATATTTTGGATATTAACCTTTTATCAGATATGTGATTTGCAATATTTTCTCCCAGTCAGTAGGTTGCATTTTCGTATTATTGATGATTTCCTTTGCTGTGCAGAAGCTTTTAGTTTGATGGCATCCCATTTGTTTATTTTTTGTTGCCTTTACTTTTAGATATCAAGATAAGATATCAAGACACTTACCACCTGTGTTTTCTTCGAGGAGTTTTATGGTTTCAGGCAAACATTCAAGTGTTTAATCCATTTTGAATTAATTTCTATGTCTGGTCTAAAGTAATAGTTTAGTTTTATTCTTTTGCATGTGGCTGCCAGTTTTCTCAACACCATATTGAAGAGATTTTCCTTTCCCCATTGTGTATTCTTGCCTCCTTTGTCATAAATTAATTTATCATATATGTATGGATTTACTTTGGGCTCTCTATTCTGGCCCATTGACTTATGTGTCTGTTTTTATGCCAGTGCCATATGGTTTTGATTACTATAGCTTTGTAATATAGTTTGAAAACAAGGAGTGTGATGCCTCCAACTTTGTTCTCCTTTTTCAGGTTTGTTTTGTCTATTCAGGGTCTTTTGTGGTTCCATATAAATTTTTAAGATTATGTTCTATTTCTGTGAAAATGCCATTGGAATTTTGATAAGGATTGCATTGAATCTGTAGATTGTTCTAGGTGGTATGGTCATTTTAACAATATTAATTTCTCCAATCCATGAGCATGGAATATCTTCTCATTTAATTATGTCTTCTCCAATTTGTTTCATCAGTGTCTTATTATTTTTTCAGTGTACAGGTCTTTCACCTCTTTGGTTAATAAAAATAGCTTTTGTTTTAATCAGTTGATGACAACCCCCCAATTATTTGCTAAATGATTGTTCTTATAAACATCCTTGGTTGCAAACAAAATGTCACGTCCCCTGGAAAAGATGACCACAGTGACCTCAGACAAACTCAGTTGGCCAGGAACTGAGGAGGGAGAGATTTACTCTGCTTGGGATAGGCAGAGAATGTTTAACGGAGACAATGATATTTGAATCAAGCCTTTAATGTTTGGGTTAAATTTGGATAAATAGGAGTCTTCCCGGGGATAGGGCATTCCAAACAGAACATAAAGCATGTGTGAAGGCCTGGGCAACTCAGAGGGCGTGATATGTTTGGGGAATGGCCAGGGAGGAGGAAAGGAAGTAGGAAAATATGACTAAAGAGAAGGGTGGGTTCTCCATTATTTTCAGTAGCTTGACTTTTCTAAGTATTTGACTTTGCAATCTTCACTGTTAGGGGAGCAGAAAGCCACAAGCACAGTAGCACCATGGTCAGGTAGGTACTTAATGATAACAAACGTCTATAGTGTTTCGTGGTGGAGAGACCCAAATAAGACACTAATGGCAGTGCTTCGAGCAACAGATAGTGAGCTAGGATGGAGCAAAGGGGTCAGAGTTCAGAGAGTTTATTAACAAGAGAAATAGGCTACAGAAAATCTTTCTCTTAAATAAATGGACTGTAAGGTAAATAAGTAGCGTTTATTTGTGGAAGGGCTATCTCTACAAAACAAAGTGATGTGCTTTCAAGGAAATAACATGGGAACATCTTTAGCAGTTATTTTGGTAACCTGAAGAATTTGTATTAACAGATCCCAGTTCCACAGAATGCTATCCTGGAGACATGTTCTCTTCCCCATTCAGATTTCCTATGGAAATTGAACACCCCAGTTATTTAGTGGAGGTGTAAGAATAAGAGGTAGGTTCTGAGTAGTCCTCCTACCCTTCTAGCCAAGACCGCTTTGTCCCTTCCCTTCTAAATATGTCACCTGGGAAAGATGGATCAGCATTAGTGGAGATTCAACCCAAATGTATTTGAGAAATTACCCAATTAAAAAATGTTGGGAAATTGGTCCCAGCCACTCAGTGAATGATTATTGAATGGATGAATTAATAAAATTTTGAATTCACTTTAATAACTTTTGACTTAAGCATGTAAAATAAGATTTGATAGAAAGGAAAAAAAGTCTTCAACTGAAGCTTTCCTATTTCATCTTTTACTGAAATAGCTAATGTGCCACTTCTGAAAAATACTCCAGCATAATACCAAATGGACTTTTTACCTCTGTGCCTTATGCAGTAGATGTTTACAACTTGATTATTTAAATTTGAAAACTGAGCGTATAATACAGCGTATTTAATCTTGTTATTTTTTCAAAATATCTTCTTTAAACTGTCCTTTAAGAGTCATTCTCTGTACTTCAGTTTATTTAAAATTATTTTACCACTGATTGTAATTCCGTCCCTGGTAGTTTAGAGGAAAAATGTTTTTCTATTATGTTTCAACAATTTCTATAGTTGTGTCTAAAATCATAATTAATAATAATATTTGCTGTCTATGGAGTGCCTGTTTGGGGATGTGTTTTGAAAGTATTTCAAATTAAAAAAAAACATAGTAAATAAATACTCTTTACCCATTTTTCAGATGGGTGAAAAAAAAAGAGTCAAAGTGGTGAAGTTATTCAACCGAGACCTCATAGTTTTCCAGCTGTATTATATTATAAGGCTCAAATGTAGGTCCATTAGTCCGTGAAACCTGTGTGCTTCCTGTAACATCATTGTGGGTCCAGATTTTACCCCCTTCTTTCTATTTTATCTAAATGTTAACATGAACCCATAGTTGATATGTTGTTCTATGTTACTAATTCTAAGAATCTCTTACTTTGTCTTTTTGCTCCTACATCTCTATAGATACTAATCATGAATGTGTATCAATACCACATTCCAATATACATACTTTCCAACATGCAAGGAAGAGATATTGTTATCCCAGCTTTGTGGAGTATTAATTTAGTAAACTTTTTAAAGTGTTACCTAGATTCAGGAAATAGCTATATACATCATTTTATTCATATTTAAGAGAGAGAACTATAAATAATGGTATTTTTTTTAACCAACAGTGGTTTTTATAAAACTAAATGCAAAATAGTTTTACTACTTGATAAACAGATAACCAAATTAGAGACTTTTATAGGTAATAAAAGTGATCGCTATCTCTTCTCCGTCCCACCCTCCTTTCTCTCCTCACCACAAAAAATTAGGCAGGATTTTTGTTCCAAATCATCAGGATAATTGAGACCTATTTCACTTTGTGATAGGGAACGTCTGTCTTGCAGTGAAAATTTATTGTCCTGTTCTGCAATGAAAAAACCGATATTCTTAATGTTCTTACACATTCTTTTCTTTTATGTGAACATTTTAGGTGTATCAATATATGCATGAAACGATAACTGTTAATGGCTGTCCCGAATTCCGTGCCAGGGCCACAGCAAAGGTAAGACTTGAGTAACTTTAAAAATGTACTCAAGCCCAGCGACCTAGTAATTGACTGTGCGCGTGTGTGTTTCAGGTGTTCTCGTGTGTACACTAAGAGAATTTAGACATCAGTGGCAGCCCAGAGTCTAGAACCAGTACTACTTCCCAGGTAAAAATCCTAATGGAAAACTGAACGTTTCTGCTGCTTCTGTAGCTTAAGAAAGGAGAATGATGTCATTAAACTCACTAAATGTTCATTTGGCACAAGCAAATCTACTGCTTCACTGTATGCAATGTTTCTTGGTTTTCTGACACATTCATCTGATCCAGAAGACCCTGTTCCCTGTTCAATGCAGAAAAGTTTATTTGCACAAGTCTAAAGATTAGATATGAGGAGAACTCAGCTGACACCCACTGATGCAGGATTTTTGTTGTTAGCTTTTTAAAAGAATATGGTGTTAACTAAAAGGAAAGCCTGTGACCTGTTGTGGTAGTGACCACATGTGCTCTTGAAAAACTCAAATCCAGAGATTGCAGAGACGCTACGAATGAAACTGTTAACAGCAATAGGATCATGAAATTATCTGGAAAATAGGCCATTAGGAAATAATTGCATTAAACTGAAATCACTGATGCAAATCTTATTTTACAAATACAGAAATGTTATTATAGACATATGTATGCTTTTTAAAAGCTTTTCTCTTTCTAATGATGTATAAGAAATAAGAACTGGTGAAAATAATCAGAGTTTTCCATTTAATTCTTTCGTGTTACATCCCTTTGTGTTTGGTTTCTCTCCTGATTTTTTTAGTTTTCATTCTGTAACTGAACATTGTAGATTTGTGAGTTTTTTGGGGTTTTTGTCTTTTTTTTTTTAACCCAGGCCAAAAAGGGTATTATTATCATTACATCATGCTTTGCTTGTACTGAAGTGGAACACACACCGAAAAATGATCCCTACATGGTTTAATTAAGGAGAAAGTGAATTACGTAGTGTTTTACCATTCTCATTTCTTATTCATGTAGAACAGCAGGATAGCAGCATAATGTTGCAATAGCACAATATTTTCTGGTTGTTTCTGGGCTGTCTGCATTGCATCCATGTCAGCCATTAGAATCTATGCATGACAACAAGGTGCATGAGCAAATGCATGTAGCTAAAGACAAGCCATTATTTCCATATCATTCACTACCTTTCACTAAATGCAGACAGTAGCATAATGCTAAATTGATGTGATAATGCTGTGTGTGTACAGTCGTTGGGAATCAATATTTTCAGTGTTGAGTAAATCGCTTTATAGTAGGCATCTAATCGGCTGTGGTGAAGGCAGGTTGCTGGAGGTGAAAAATAAGAAGCAGGCAGAGAATCTTTTCTTGATAGAAACTATCTAAATGCTCTTATTTCCGTGGGGAGTGAGGGGGTGAACACTAATGGTAAGTTGTTTCCTTCAACTTATTTTTAAAATATTAATAGATAGGAGTTTTACAGTAATGTGTCCATATAAAATGATATTTTGTACATCTAGGTATAAAACTACAGACTGCTCATTTTGTCTACATTGCTGTAGTCATTGAAATCTTAGTGTAAAAATGTAGAAGAAAAAATCTGTGACAGATAAGAGGACCTCATAATAATATGGAATATTGATGTGAAATAATTATAATCTGTTTGAATCATTATTTTAGCTTTTTTCTTTTAGGCATTTTCCATTAAAAAAAAGTACTAAATTTGCTAAGCCAGTGGTTTGGCACTAGCAAAATTATAGATGTATACGTGAGTATGTATGCGTAGAAGTGCTCCTCAGTGGATTGCATAAATAGGTATGAACATTAATGTGCAGGCGTTGGGATAGACTGTGTGTCATACAGAGAAGTGGGAGCCACAATCTCAGCACTTCGTGTGCTCCTGGTCAACATTTAAAATATATATACACAGTGATAATGGCATCTGTACTGTATGTTAGGTAATATATGTAATATATGTATATGGAAAGATCCTTATGAGGAAGGGAAATTTTTATCCTGATGGATTTTTATCCTGGAAAGGTAGAAATAGTTGGGCTGCGCTTTACCAAAGAAAGGAACCATGGAGGACATCTAAGTGAGGAAAGGCCCCCCACGCCCCTTTCGAGTTTTTTCTTTCACAGGAGAGTGCTATAAAATAGGAGAAGTGGCCTGATCTTCCCACTGCAAGTCGTATGATTAGCCTCGTTTCCCTCATTTTATTACCAAATGACCATCTTTTCTTTCAGGCCACAGTTGCAGCTTTTGCAGCTAGTGAAGGCCACTCCCACCCCCGGGTAGTCGAACTGCCAAAGACGGATGAAGGCCTTGGTTTTAACGTGATGGGAGGAAAGGAGCAAAATTCCCCCATTTATATCTCTCGCATCATTCCTGGAGGGGTGGCTGAAAGACACGGAGGCCTCAAGAGAGGAGACCAGCTGCTGTCAGTGAACGGAGTGGTATGTTCATAACATAACCAGAGGTTTTTCTCTCTAAGCACATTCTTTTTTTTTCCCCCGCTGCCCTCACCAAAGTCAGTGTTGAAATCCTAAAACAAATCTTAATTTTGTGTCCAAACGGCTTCCTAAGCGTTGATGGATATTAAGCCTACAAAAGCAGTAACTTACACTTTTGATCTCTCACTTGTCCTGTTCAGGGATAAGTGTGACCTAGTGGGAAGATCATCCCAAAATATTATCCCAACTAGTAGAATGTCCCCCATGTAATACTCTAATTGAATTAATGTTTAGAAGAATGTAATTTTAAGTCACTTTTATTCAAACTGACTATAAGCAAATATGTACATTAAAAAAAAACTAAAACTCCTCACTGTATGTATTTTTTATTTTCATTAGAGAGGAAGGATAATTTTAATATGTGTTATAATAATAACACACAGGGAAAAGGCTAATGCTCAGATAATTCTTTAAGCCAGATATAGAGCTATAGTATAATAAAAATATATTAGCCTCTCTCCAGAAAAAAGTTTGGCTATATTATCTATTCATCATATAAATTTCAGTTTTCACATGAAGTTAAAATAACATTTTAACATACATTTCTTCATAACTTCATATTCTTTGCATGCCATTACCTCCACATACAGTGAGTTGCTAATGAAATGGCTTCGTATGAAATGAGTAAGTTTTGCCCATAATTTCTACGTACATCAAAAATAAATAATCTAAAAGCATAAATTTCAGAAGTATAAATAGGTACATATTGAGCTTACTTTAATTTTCCTCTAGCATCTTTTTTCTTAGCTTAAGATTTAAAAAACTAAGCTAGATTTGGGCTTTTTTATGGCCATATTAATTTCTACTATGAATGCAATAGCCAAAATAAATGCATTTGAAATATGATTTTTTGTTGGTAACTATGGAGTAAATCCTTCTGTATTTGTATCTTGCATTTTGTTTCTTTCTTTCTTATCTTTTGCCTGACTGGTGATTTTATAGAACCCAGAATTATTCATTCAACTTTGCTGATCTCTGACGTACATCAAAATTATCAATCCATGAATATTTTATATACCTTCAGCATTACCATGCTAAAACTACCATTTCATTGATTTTTTTCTGTGCAACAATGCTTTGAGATGAGCTTTAAACAACTATGACTATTTCAAAGCATATTTCAACTGATAATTTTGTAGTCAGATTTTATAGGAGAGGGCTCTGGAGCAGGTCATGCAATTATGTCACAAAGTAATCTGTGCCTCAGTGTATGAATTTATAGTGTCTCTGAATATATTGGGTAGATCAAATGAGAGTATAGATTTTAAAACATGAAAAGAGAAAAAAAACCTAAAAATATAGTAATAGTAATTGTCATATAAAGCAATGATAAATATGTATGAAATCAATTTAATATGTAGTTGACTTTAAGCTATCTGTCAGGGGGCTCAAGAGCCTATGTTTATCAACCCCATCATTTGCAAGGATCATAGCTGTTGGCATTTCATAATCACTCATCCATGCCTTGCAATGACCATGTCACTTTACCTGGGAAGCTGCAGAGGGTATTGAACAGACATATTAGGCCCTCAATATCATTATGATTATGGATTTAATATCCTCTAAACCTGAATTTCCTAATCTGAGTACACGGAGTAGTAGCTAATTTGAAGTGTTCTGATGAAGATTAAAATGAGGCAAAATATTTGTTGACAATTGTCCTGTGATAATTTGATCTTACATACCTTTGATAGGTAAGTATGGTTACTGAAGAAGGTTGAAGAGGGTTAGCAGTCCTCCTGTGATATTTCTAATGCTAGTTATGTTAAAAGTAAGTCTTAAAGCAAATTCTGCTACACATATAGGCATATTTTAGCAAACATTATTAGCATAGAGGTATTAACAGACTCATAAACCTCTTTCAGAAGTTTGATGACATCCTGGTTCTCTGTCCATTCAGCTGTTGACAGTCAGTACCTTGAAAAAAAGGTTTACTTGAGGCAAATAAAACAGCATTCCAGAGCCAGGACTTTGTTATCTTTATATTCAGCATTAGAAAACCAGAAATTCTACTAAACTGACAGTTGGAAATAAGGTTTAGTGATCAAACTTAGGCCACTAATCCTTTCGTGCAGGCTATGGGGTCTCCTTAAGATTTTTATAACCTGTTCATGCAAAGGTGGGAAATGTCTCCAAAATCTTTAGTTTCCACATGTATTTAAAACCTTTAATTTTGTCAGTTAAGTTCCATCTGTTATGCTAGTTAATGACTCGCTAATTTTGCCAGTGAGAATCCATTTCTGACATATTGTTGCTAGTAAACAAAGTGTTGTTCATTGAAATGGGTATAACAAATGCTTTTGTAGTGACCAACCTCTAGAGTGTTGCCTTTCTGATACAATTTTTGCTGGACCACCTAGACTGGTTAAACCTCCTGAAGTTTAAAATATTAACACCTGTACAGTCAAACTATCCATTATAAATTACCTATTTTAAAGTATTTAAGTCGTATACATTTTAACAGTGCCTAATAGTTATGAAATATTCATCAAAAGGTAGCTTTCCTTCTGTAAATGAGAAACTTTCATGACCCAGTGGGTTTCCAGTAGTCACAGAAAGTAGTTAATCCAAGGTAAGAATGCTGGGGTTCTACTGCCAAATCCAAGACTCTTTTCAGTATGACTAACTCCAGGGAGATGGCACAGCACTTAATGGAAAAAAAAAATTACACTGTAATGGAAGGGCCAAAAAAGAAAAAAAAATGTTAGCAAATGATCAAATTTACACTTTAAAGTAACATTTGGGGAAATTAATATGGAAGACTTTCAGAACATGCCATTCTAAAGCACATTTTGGAAGGAAGTGATTTGGAGGGCTGAAACAAACCTTAACTACTTCAGTATAAGTACTCTGGGGAAGATTTATTACTCTTCTACTTAAAAAATAAAAAAATTATTGCATGGACCTTTAAACATCTGAAAAGTCACCTGAAAGGATGTCTTAATTATACATGTTTGTTTTTATTCCCTGCCTGTTTTTAGGAAGGATATGTCATGATGCCTGGTAAAAAGTAAAATATAGTAATACAGAATTGTTAACATGGTATATTAGGCAATAAAGTGGGATGTAAAGGGAGAAAATCAATAACTAGAAATCAAGAAGAGATACAGCAGTTGAGCAAGTGATTTTTTTTTTTCCATTAGCATCTTAGAGACCCAAACAGAAGGAAACCCATACCAGCTCAGCTGTCATTGGGAGAGAGTGTTTTTTTCTCTATCCCTGAGCTCCAGGAGAAATTTCCCGTGGGATTTTTACAAATGAGACATTGAATCACCTCATACAATTTTATAGAAAATGCAGAGGCATTTTGCACATGGCTACTTCTAAAGTCAACCGTCAGTAAAAACTTAAGAGCTGAATGCTCAATTAAAATTTAACATTAACACAAGGTCAAAATGTAACAGTTAGAATTTATAGCTTTCTAATGATCTCCTTTTCACCTTTTATCTGTTTATCTGTATCTGTAAGTGTTTTATCAGCAATTTTGAGACAGAACTAAACACTGTTTATAAAGGTTGCAGCCAATGTGGAGCCAGCAGGGATAGTAAATACATTTAGTGATAGAGTCTGGATATTAAAAAAAAAAACTCCATAGAATGGTACAATAGCCTAATTTAATAAGAATCTACATGAAGTCCTGCTAATTCACCCAGAAAAGTAGCTACCAAGGTGCAAAATCAGGAAGGAATGGCTAAATATCAAAATCTGAAAGGAAAAAACCTGGAGGATTTCAAGAGGAGTATGAAGCAGGTTGGGGAAAAGAAAGAAAAACACACAAAAAATGTTAATGTGGTTGTAGGAGCCATTAATACAAATATCCAAATATCGTGTACAGACACCAAAGGAGGAAGAGACTGGTCCAGCTCTTGAGTGTGACGTTCAGCTCACACCCCACTGTACTCTGATATGATCCTGGCTCCATCCTGGCAAAGAACAATAAGCTTGTCCAGAAACAAGCAGCCTTGTATAGGAAGAAGGACTTGCCTTGTTTAGGACAGAGAATGACTCAGGGGAATGATGGCTGCCTTTAGTTGTCCTCCATTGTGAGGTACCAGATGCCAGAACCAAGACCAGTGGGTTAAGGCCACAGAGGAAGCAGATTACAGTTTATGGTAAGAAAGAGCCTTTAAATATGTAGGGAAAGACTGAATCATAAGTCAGTATGTGCCCATTACTTGAAGTTTTAATCAGAGACCTGTTTGCCCCACAGTCCATTCTAACTCTGTGACTCTGTGTTTTCAGATGGGATTTTTCTTGAGACTCTTAAACTACCCCCCCCACACACACACACTCATACACTCATACAGAAAAGTAGGCTCTGCCTACTCTCTGTACTCTACTGATGAGACATTTTTTCTTGAACAGAAGGATTAGATATCTACAACATAATACTTTTATTTATTTACTATTTTATAGTTTATAAAAATATTTACATGAGATTCTCCCATTTGTTCCTCAGAAAAGTCTCATGAAATGGATAGGGCCACAGTTTGTTCTCTCTCTCCTCTTTCTCTCTCTCTCTCTCTCTTTCACACACTAACACACAGATAAATGAATATAGGGAGCAGTAGCTAATTTGAAAGACTGATGAAGATTAAAATGAGGCAAAATATCTGTTGAGAATTATCCTGTGACAATTTGATCTTCCGCACCTTTGATAGGAAAGTGTGGTTACTGAAGAAGGCTGAAGAGGGTTAGCAGTCCACCTATGATGTTTCTAATACAAATGTACACACAGACCTACACCCAAATACACACACATGAACTGAGTTTCAACCTTTATTGTGATCCTAACTGGTGCTTGCTAAATATAATAATTGGTTCTTTAAAAAGTCAATCCCAGGGAAATCCAAATAAGCTCCATAGATTGTGCCCATGTCAGTGCCCTGGTTTTAATATTACACAATAGTTTTATAAGATACTAATATTGAGAGAAGCTGGGT